GTCAAGAAAATCATAGGACAGCAAAAAGGAAACGAAAAAAGGAAGAAAAACCACAAAGAAGGATGCAAACAAGAACACGGAAAATTTATGTGGTTCGGTCCATAAGACCTCCATCCACGGGAGAGAATGAGGAAACAATTCACTGTTAGCTGAAGCCCGATCCCGCTCCCGCCTCCTTGGTTTCTATCGCGAAAAGTCGCGACCGCGACCTTACAGTTTTGTGAACTGCTCCCGCCTACGATTCGTGAAACGACTCCCTCTACTTCTTTAAGTTACGAACAGGACCTTCCTCCGAATCATCTTCTACGATCAACTGCTACAGGCAGGAGATTCGAGAGAGCTTCGACGTGCTTTGCAGAAGATGAAGAAAGGAAATAGCACGGCCCTCTTCTGTGTTCTTCTTTGGTCTTCCTCGGGATAGAGGATGAGAAGTGCAAGCAGTAGCTCCTTGTGGCAGAAGTAAGAAGAAGATTGTTCTCCCTTGACTTCTTCTTTGTGGCTTGTGGCAGAAGAGAAATTAGGTTTATTTCTCTTTTAATTTTATCTTCTTCATTGTACCTCGGTGCAGATAGAGAAGAATAGAGAGCAAGGAAATGAGAGATCCCTCTTGTAAGTCGAGACGATCGACTAGTGTATATTCCTCAAGCAGTAAAATCCTCTGCAACACCGTGAACGTAGGCAATTTGTCAAACCATGTAAATCTGTGTGTTCCGATGTATTACTGTTTTCTTGTGTGAATTTTCTCATTCTATTTTTTGCTTCATCGTAGACCGTTCTTTTAAATTTCTATACTATTTTAAATTTTTCTATATACCCCAACATTCACTAATACAATCTTGAAGATTACACAACACAAAATTAAGGACGAACCAATCTTCTCAAGCTCTCTATTGATCTTGATCTCGATACAAGCTTTCTTGATTCCAAGCCCTCTATCGATCTTGATCTTGATAGAGGCTTTCTTTGCTCCTCGTCTTGCTTTCTGAATTTCTCTCTCCCTTAACCCTCTCAACTCATATACATCATTACATATATATACAAACCAATGACCCATACAAGATGACCGGTTACGCACCTTTAAATAGCCAAATGACACTCATTAGTTATTTATACTTCATTATAAATGTGGTTTTGTTTTAGTTCGCATAATTGGAGTCATCATAAAAAATCTCCACCTTGACTTCCAATTACAAGCCTCCATAATAGAGATTCCCCTCACCTAGCCTTGAGGGGCCTAAGCCGTTGTCTCCTTTGACACTTCCCTTAAAATTTTGTCTCCTAAGCTCAAGATTATCATGTTGTAGCTCGGAACAAGATGTTTTCTTCTCCCTCTCGGGCATTTCTGTCGGCAGTGTCGTCGGTTCTTGCAATGCTTTTGCGATACCTTGTTGCACCAATAGATCTCTTATCTTGACTCTCCACAAACTGAAATCATTCTTTCCGGTGAATTTATCGATGCTGAAATTAGCAGATTCCAATATCGTGGCTAAAATTTCTCACAGACGGCGTCAATCGTTGTGAAATTTGCTGCCAAGAAAGCCATAAGACAACAAAACGGAAACGGGAAAGGAAAAAAAGCTCAAAGAAGAATGCTAACAAGAACACCGAGAATTTACGTGGTTCGATCTATAGGACATACATCCACTAGAGGGAATCAAGAAACAATTCACTAATACAATCTTGAAGATTACACTGCACAAAATCAAGGACGAACCAATTTTCTCAAGTTATCTATCGAACTTGATCTCGATACAAACATTCTTGATTCCAAGCCGTCTATCGATCTTGATCTCGATAGAGTCTTTCTCGGTTCCTCGCCTTACTATCAGAATTTCTCTCTCCCTGAACTCTCTCAACTCATATACATCATTACATATATATATA